TAAAAGAGTCAGATTTTTGCAGCACACAGTGAGAACTGAACTGTATTTTTATGTAAATGCTATAGAAAATGCAGCTCAGCAAAGGCTGTTTTCCAACTGTTGGCTAGAAAGCATTTTGAGTGCCTAAAGACTCCTGTTTTCCAAAAGAACTTGGTGAGAAAGAATATAAAGGGGTAATAGACCATTTAAACCTGTTCTACCTACCAGAGGTTTCTTTTTTAAAAAAAATCTAAGAATCAGCTAAGAGGAGGAAACACTACCTAGCCTTTAACAAGCCTAAATGGTGATTCTTCCTTGCTTGTTTGTTTGTTTGTTTGTTGTTTTTAAATGCAGGCCAAACCCAAATTTGTTTATGGAGTAAAACACCAGGAAAAATGGTGTATGCTTGCATGGCACAGTCCAGCTCCCAGGGCTGCCACAGGAGATACTTTAGGTGCGATGTGACTTTGATAGGGTGGAGCTTTATGTGCCCTAGAGGAAAGCCAAAGTACAGCAGCACAGCGCTGCTGTGCAGTGTGGACCCAGCCTCATGCAGGCCCTTCTGTGAATGATGCTGTGCACACTGACTGAAAACACATTGCATGCGATGAACAAGATGGTATCACTATCAGAGGGAGCTCCACCATCTAGAAAAACCTTTGGGAGAGGATAGCTGGGAGACAGCTTGGATGAGCATGGCTCAGAATGAGGGTGTTCCCTGGAGTAAAAGCTGAAGGGCTCGAGCCCCTTTACTGGCATGGATGGGATGGGCTGCCTTCCCACGTATCCTGTTGCTGTGAAAACAAACCATGTGGCATTAAGCCAGGGAGACTAGCAAAGAAAAATATCTTGAGTAAGTGTGAAGGAATTTAACCTGTTGTTAAGGTGTCCCAGAAAGGGGAGAGAATGAGCTTTAGACGGTGTGGTTGTCACAGTAACTTCTCCAGATACCTGTGTGCCTTTTGAGTTAACTGGGTCTGAAGGAGATGGTCTCCTGCTGATAGGCAGAAAGTGACAATGTATTTAAGTGTAAGCCAGACCAAAGAGCAGCACACTGGAGACTGCCCAGAGAGGGGGAGCCAAGAGTTAAAATGTAGAGCCCTATGTAAGGCAGACATTTGTTTCATAGGTGGCACAACAGGAAGGCTGGAGGAGCAGGCGATGCCATTTCTCAGTTGCTGTGGGTGAGACTGGTGCCATTCGTGTTGGGGAGGGTGGCTGCGGAGAGGTGGTTGGACAGATCAGAGGAGCAGTGGGATGGATTGCAGAGGCTGGGTGTAATTTCACCTGCAGATTCCAGGGCAGCAGCTGCACCAGCCTCACAAGCTCCCAAGACTGGGTAAGGATTTGTGGGAAGTATAAAGTCATTGTAAATCCTCATTTACAAATGGGTCAATACCCAATTCCTACACCATAAGATTCATTCACAGCAGTTTTGAGAAGGGGGAATTCACGTCTCCCAGTTGGTACTGGGTCTTCCAACATGATTTGATGGTGAAAACACCCAAGGGGCCATTAACAAATACGTCAGTAACCCTCAGAGTGGCCAATCTATGTGCCACGGGATGAGGTGTGAGAGTTACCTCGGCTTTTTGGAAAGTCTTTTAATGACCAGGATGAGTTCAGGGGAACGGCTCTAAAAGTCAGAGGGAACACTAAAAAGACTGCAAATATATGGCTGTGCTATTAAGAGAAGCAGGCTCATTTAATTTCACCAGAGTTATTTGAACTCTATTAAGAGCAGGGGCAATCTCTTATTAAGAGGGAAAGCAAAAATAATTAAGAACGTACTGGTACCACAGAATACTGTTTCTAGACACATTAAGCTGTTGTAGTTTAAAAGTTTTATTAAAATATATTAACCTTGATTAAGCTTGATGTGTAGCTTGTTTAAAAACTGAAAAAAAAAAGCTTCATTCAGAAGAGTGAAATTAAATATTTTGGCAATCAAACAGCTTTAGCCCTTTGATGCATTCCCTTCTTTAGCATTAACATTAGTACCTGTACTGGAAGGACTGGTTCCTGAAATTTCAAACATCTATTAAGTGATGAGTAAAAAACCTCCTGTATTATCTTAGTGGACATCTCAAAACTGACCATCATTCATCTTCAATAACGCTGCTTTGCTGTGCTTCTTTCACTACAAAACAGTTTTGTCCATCACTTGCAGATAAATACTAGAATGACGTGTCGGGGTGAAAATACTGTCCTCATCACCAATCCAAAGCTACTTACTGGAAGCATTGAGGCTGAGAATATGCATTTTTCCACTGGTAGAGGCCAGATAGCAGACACTGAGTTTTGTTAGGTAAGTGTTTTACCAAAATACCTTTTAGAATAGACCCTCAAAAATGTTTTCCTGTACTCATGGAGGGAAAAAAAAAAAAAAGCAAAGCGATTCAGTGTATGTTTTCTATTCTACAGACCTTTCTTTGCTAAAGAAATTGCTCTGGAAACAAGAAATAATTTTGGTTATAGTTGTACGCACTGGACTTCAGGGATGGCCACATTACATCACTGGCAGCTAGCTTAAGCCAGAGTGCTTTTAGCAAATTGATGTTTTCCTTAGCTCTTTGCTGGGGGAATACTAGGGACAATAAAAAAAGCGTACAAAGAGACTCACTGGTATAATTACCTGAGTAGTACCAAGAGACTGTTAAGTTGAAAAGGAGGGAAAACCTCATTTCGTGTGCCTGCTGCTTTCCTGCAGGGCAGATGCAGGCAGCAGTTTGTGTCCTCACAGCAGATCATGGCACTTGCAGAGGCCGGGAATGCTGGGGATATGTTGCCTGGGGATGTGTGCTGTGCCACCATGTGTTAATTTTGCAAGAGGGAGAAAACCTGCTGCTTTCACTGCTGGCTGGGGCACATTACTGGTGCCAGGACAGGATATGAGGGATGGGAACGTGTGGTATAAAACAGCCCAGGGGCTCTGTGAAACAAAATTTGCTGAAACCAGAGCCAGACAATCCCTCTGCTGCCCCCAGTCTTGGGATGCCCACCCTGCCAACAAAACCAAGTGCTTCAGGAGGGAGTGGGACACATCAGCTTCCGGGAACTGCTGCAGCTTCCCTTGGCTTGCACAGGTTGGCTGCACAGAAAGTGTCACCAGGTACCCCTGACATAAAGCATTCCCTTTGCTGAAATCAAGCAGACTCAAAACACTTGGCAATGGGAAAATTCTCTGTTCCCTCTTCCCCACATGTGAAGTGTCCCCTAAGTGTCTGCCCAGGACAAATGGTGTCAGTATGCAATTGGATGGGACAGGAAAGTTTGGGAGAATGGTAAAACAGATCTTGTTGCCAGTAACTTATTAAGTAGAGTTAAAGGGTGTGTGATAAAGAGATGTGCTGATTAATTGAAAAGCTTAGAGCAGATGTAATATGTGGCTCCAGAAGTCAATAAAAATGGCTTCAGTTTTACAGATTTTTGTTGTTCCAGAAAATAATACCCAAGGAAAGGAAAGAATGGAAAGATGTGTGGGCTTGCAGAAGGAAAGGGCAGGAGAAAAATTAGATGCTTTGTTCTCTCCCTGATACCCTGCACTGACCATTGAATTCAGAGTTCTCTCCCAAGCTTGAGCTTGTGATTTATTTTTCTATTGGGGATGTCATTGGGGTAATGTATGAGGGAGAAACTTGCTGTATTGATAAGCTGTGCTTTAGAGCTTATGGGACTGCTGATTTCTATTTCACTGGGTAAAAAGCATCTAAAATTTTGTTCTGTTTCAATCATGATTATTGCACAGTGGGATTTGATAGACTTTCTGTGTCCACTTCCTCTCAAGAGTTACTGGTTTTTAACTTCTTCAAGGGTATCAGCCATCTAACTGGAAACAGCTTATAGAAATGAATATGGTAGATAACAACAGCAATCTAAAAAAATGTGCAGAAATTAATTGAAAAAGTGTATTGTAATAACCTCATTTAGAATTTTGCAGTGGGCAGCACAAATTACTTACAGATGATAATGTTCCTCACCAGATAGACTGTACCTCACTCATTTGGAAGACAAACACCCACTAGCCTTTAAGAGTCAGGTCTCTGACAGACTGAGAGGATCCATCCTTTCCTGTGGTGTGACTGCTCACTTGGACATGAGCCAGCATTTGGCCCTGGTGAAGGGACACTACCCAGGTGATGGCCCGGAGGGAGCTTGGGCAGATACTGACATTGCTGGTTTGTTGATCCCCAGCAAATATAGAAGAGGAGCTGTTAGGGCCACTGTGTGCCAGGTTTGGTGGATGAGCAGAAGGCTGAGGGTAGCCCTGGACAGCCCTTTGCCTCTTTCTTTAAGCACTGAGCCTTGCAAGATGTGTATATTCCATCTGCCTGATTTTACAGTCTGCCTCATTTTTGTACTACATGATTTGAAAAAAAAAAGAAAAAAAGAAAAAGAGATTGTATTTCTCAGCTTGCTCTTTTTAGAGGGATGAAAATTTGCTCCTATGGAGCCCATTAGTATTGCCAAAGGTTGCTTATTAAATGCTTGCCTCTTATGGACTGTTCCTGTAAGTTTCAGAACTGTCTGGATATACCTTTAGCACTGCCAAATCACAAGCTGAAGAGGAAAGAACTTTCCTTGAAGCTTTAGCTCTGGGATTTGTGTGATTAAACTGGATTCTCACTTTCCATTGTAAAAAAGTAAGTTTCCAGCTGGTGTGATTGCAAAGAAGAGGTTGAAAGTCTAAGCCCAAACTATGCAAAGCAAGAGAAGCAAATAAAAAGAATATGAGGAGGTTTTTTCATTTAGTCCTATATTTTGAACTACTCCTTTCTCCAGGAGGCTGATTCATTCTTTTGAATGGATTGCACTGGTTGTGTGGTATTTTTTTGTTCCTATAAGGGATAACTTCAGAGCTTTTCTTCCAAAATTTCTCTGCCCAGTTTAGATATCTCTTAGAAAATCTAAATGAGAAGGAATTGGTAAGAAAAATTCATGATCTACTACATAAATTTTTCACAACTTTATACATGGATGAAGTGGATTTGTAGAATTATAGAATTGTAGTGACTAATAATAGTAATAAAGCGTCTGATTGTACTATGTAGTTAAAGATAGTCATAATAGTCTCATTGTCTTGTCTTCCCACTCCTTGCTGTGACATCAGCCCATCCCAGACCATCACATCCTGCTCATGGCTGTGTCTTTGTTGATAAATAGTGAGTCATTATATGCTCTGCTCTATGACTCGTACAGCTGTATTGCCCAATTTTCCTCTCTCCAGAATGAAATCCCCTTTAGTATGCCTTTAAAACAGCCAAGTTTATCTTGTGACAAATGTGCACTTCAGCAGAAGTAGGAATGAATGAAGTAAGGTGGATTTTTTTCTGTCTGATACCTGAAGTAGGTTCACCTACTGTAAATGATACATTTTTATTAATGACAGAACTCCACCACCACTATGCACTGATGGCACAATCTACCACATGCTGAATGCATCATTTCCATGCCTTGTCCCTGCAGGACACATTTGACCTGTAGAGCCCTGCTGCCACCCAGGTATTAAAGTCTGCTTGGAATATTTGGATGCTTTCATGTTAAACAGACATGTGGAAGTTACATGTTTTTACCACAAATACCAAACTGATTTAGTAATACTGAAATCAAAACTTCTTGCTCTCCAGCCTGCTGCTACCAACAAAGCATACTCAGGAAGCTCTTCTGAAACTGAAAGGATGACAAAATCTTTTTTTAAAAGTACAAGAAATAATCTGAATGCTTTCCAAAAAGAAAAAAAAAATGTGCTCTGACACTGAGAACATTGAAGAAATACCATGATCATTCTGACACTCTAAATATCTGATTTGCATAGTTGGGAGATAGTTTTTTCTTTCAATTTAAATTTAAAAGTATGATCAAGCATGTGGCATAGCAAACTTTGAGTTCTGCAGGCCTATTGAATTAATATGAATTTCTTATCAAGGACTAATGAGCAGCTCAGTATGCCCACCTTGTACAGAGGAGTTGAGGGGAAAGATCCAAAGGCGAAACAGGTCGTCAGTGAGGCAAGAATACACCGTTGTGTTTGTTTTAACTTGTTGCATTTTTACTTGGTTATTTTGTAACTCACCCTTGCAAAGTCTGAGAGACCGGATGGCCCAGGGTGTTGCAGTATTCCTGAGAGTATTTATGGATAAAGGAGGTAGAGTGGAAACCATGTGGTCCCTGGGGTAGACAGACGGATGGATGCATGGATGAATGGATGGATGAATGGATGGATTGTCTTTAACTCCTGCTCTCATTGTATTGCCTTGACCTCTCTTTGCTTTCCCTAAGCTGAGGATCCCAAGCTCCAGCCTATCAGCTGCCAAACAAGCTGTGCATAGTCAGTGATCTGGTGTAGACTGAAGCATTGGCCAAATCCTTGGCTGTAAATCTTATTCTGCTGGTGCAGATCTGTGGGGCTGCACCTGTGCCTCAGCGACCTTCCATTGCCCTTTCCCTGCGTGGAGGCACAGAGCTGTAATGCCTGTGCCAGGAGTGGGGTGAGGTGGTCAGCTATTGCACGGGCGTGCTGCTGTGAAGCAACATCTGCACTTGGGGAATGTTGCAAGCGTGTGTTCAGAGGTGCTGTATGGAAAACCATCACCTCTCTGTCAGAGCCTCTGTGTCGTGCTGAGCCTGCAGAGCCTCCTGAAGAGCATCTATGTTCCACTAGACCTAAAGTGATCCAGGAAAGTCCTGTCCTGATTCTCTCCCAGAAGGATCCGGAGTGAAACTTTCTTACCCCTGCCCGTTTGCCATGAGCTGGCCTGGGGCAGGTGCCAGAATGCTGCTCTTACCTTGCCAACAACTCTCCTGCAGAAATGAAGATTATTTCACTGCAAAAAGCAGCGTATTTAATTGCAAAACAACTGTGTTGACTGCTTGCACATCTGTTCCTTTCTTCCCTGTATCAGTCTCCTCCTTTGGGTTTCTGAGTGCTGGGGGCACCATAAAATACTGCTTGTGGTGCACCAGACCTGCACAAGGCATCCCCTGCTCCCTAGCCCCAGCTGAAGTGCTGTTCTTGCACACAGGAGGGACTGACTTTGGATAAACAGAGAAGAACCCCTTCAGCCCTGCACAGGAGATGATTCAACCACCCATTTGCTGCCTCTTTCTTTCTCTGTTCCTTCTGATATATTTTTTGGGTGGAGGGATTGAAAATTTGATTTGTTAAATAGGTTTAAGAAAATGTAAATGATAATTATAAAATTCCCTGAGTCTTTTTTTTCGTGATAGATTTTATGTAGATGGCAGTTAAAATAAGTGATTACCTCATAAATATCATTTTAATAGCCTAGTCAACGGTATAGCCTCTGCTGTTCTGAGATTTTTATCTCAGAAAAGGGAGGGAAAAAATCCTTTCCTGTGGATTTATATTGCTGTAGCGGCTGCTGCCGCTGCTCATTACTTGCTGAGTAATTTGAGGGGAACATATTCTTCTCATGCAGGCGGAGACAGAGTGAGTGAGCATGGATGCTGCTGGGGGCTGGCCACCCTGTGCCCACACAGCCAGCTGTGCCCTGGCCAGCATGTCAAGTGTTGCAGCTGAAGCTTTTGGGGTAACAACCTCATGTTTTCCAAAGCCAGTCATTCCTGCACACGAGCACCATCCTCCTCCATCAGCAGCAGGCAAGCAGGCCAAGACCTTGCCCACATCCTTGTTGCTAAATTGGAAAGAAATTAATTTGGTGTGTGCATTATTCATTGGACAAGGAATTGTCTGGATGGCTGCATCCCAGTAATTTTGTAGTCAATGGCTCGGTGTCCAAATGGAGATTGGTTACAAGGGATCTCAGGGGTCCAAATCGAGGCAGGAACTGTTCAATATCTTTGTTATTGCTACAGACAGTGGTGGGCAGTGCTGCCTTGGCGGGTTTGGGGATGACAGCGAGCAGAGGGTGCAGTGGATTTGCCTGGGAGAAGGGAAGGAGGGGTGGCCCTGTGTGAACCTCATGGAGTTCAACAAGGCCAAGGGACACCTTTTCAACTCCTTTCAATGTATAGAAAGAGGCTTGTAAGAAGGATGGAGAAAGACTTATTACCAAGACTGGCAGTGACAGGGCAACAGTTTTAAACTGGAAGAGGATAGGTTTGGGTTAGACAAAAGTAAGAAATGCTCTACTCTGCGGGCGCTGAGGCACTGGAACAGGTTGCCCAGAGAGCCTGTGAATGCCCCATCCCTGGAAATATTCAAGGCCAGGCCGACGTGGCTTTGACCAGCTTGGTCTAGTGAAAGGCGTCCTTTCCCCATAGCGGGGGTTTGGAGCACAGGCAGCTAAGCTGCCTTCTCACCCAAACCGTTCCGTGAGGGGGGCCTGGTGTTCCCTGAGATTCAATTCGGGAATGCCTAAGCCCCGAACGAACCCGCCCCGCGATTGTCCCCGCGGGAGCGGCGGGCGGCGGCAGGGGGCGCTGCGGCCCCGTCGTTGCG